ATATTTAGTAAATAAACCCCTTCGGGCGGCTGGTATGTCGGCTGATAATGTCCGCGGCTGAGAGATTGTCCGAAAAATGAATATTTGGCCGAGAAGCGAAGCTTCGAGGGCAAATATGAAATTTTGAGGACAATGTCTCAGCCAAGGACATTATTAGCCGACATACCAGCAAGCCAGAACGGGTTTAATTATTTTATAACCCTTCCATTAATTTTCACATCGCAATTAAACTGCTCGTAAACACAGTAAAAAAGCCAGTGGAGATCTGAAGGCGAATGCGCGTGATTGACGCAAGCAAAAAAACAAACGAGTTTGGTTTCCTTACATATAAATAAGAGAACGGAAAAGTTGAAACTCTTGTGTTGACTATGTTTCTTTTTCACGGAAAAAATCGGAGGACAAATATCGACATGGACGGGGGTTATTGCGTGATAACTGTCCTGTGATTTCGCACCACGTGACGTAAAGTAACCAATAAAGTCGCGCCAAAATTAATGAGTGGGTTATAATGTCGAATAATCCCCGAGACGAAGTCGAGGGGATTATTCGACGATATTCACCTCGCCTTCGGCAAATAATTGTTAAATACAATATCACCCCTGAAATCAACATTAAGGTCAGGAGAATAAAGGACATGGTCACCAACTAAACAAGCTCTTGATTGTCAAACAAATTCTCCTTGTTAGCACCTTAGGAAATGTATAGAGAACAGTATGGAGAATATGCATACTGATGTTAGGGTGGAAAGGGTTGGGGGTGCTTAGCGAAGCGAAGCATTGCTAAATAAATGTAATCCCCAATATTGTTGGCACTCAACCAAAAAAACTTACTCTGAATGTTTTCCACATTCATACAAACATATTTTTGTTTGTGGTGACACTCGGTCAATTTTCTGCTTTTTTCGTGCTGTCAAGTGTTAGAAATGGAATACCAGGCAAAGAAGGACTGTTCATTATCTCAGTGACATCTGGCTCATTGGCTGACAAGACTGGAGCACGAGTAAGTCACGATGTTTTTTTTTTCGAAAGTACACATAAAAAGTATACGACTAAATAGAAGTAATGAAAAATTGAAGCATTACCTTCAGGCTGAAAGGGAACCTCTCTTCTTCATCTTTATTTACTAGTACGTGCTGGTAAAATCAATGAAATCATGTCACCATAGCTTTCTCAAAATTGACCAGTTACTGTTGAATTGAGAGTTTATGAAAACATTTGTTGAACCTAGAAGTTATCACTTAGGTGGAACACATGACTAGCGCACTTGGCAACAGATCAAGTCACAAGCAAACTCGACTGATGTAAAGGTCCAAGTTCCAAACTCCCAAGTGACTTTAAAGCGTTAATATGATGATAAATGAATACCAAATGTTTTTACGTGTTTAACTTACGACAATTAATTAACGGTTTATGAAAACATTTGTTGAACTTAGAAGTTATCACTTATGTGGAACACATGTCTGGCGCACTTGGCAACAGGTCAAGTCACAAGCAAACTCGACTG